AATCAAAGAAAGCCAGTGCATGCTGGGGTCTTACTTTGGATTTATTGCACTTATTTTTGTTCTAGAGATCGCAGCCATTGTTCTCACTTACGTTTACAGAGAACAAATCGAGAAAAACTTGCGAGGAGACATAAAAGACACTCTGAACAGATACAAAGACCATGATTACGAGTCTGTCACCAGAGCAATCGACGAAATTCAGGCAAGTTTCAAGTGTTGTGGAAATGATAAATATAAGGACTGGTTCAACACCAAATGGGGAAGAAATAACACGGGATCTGTTCCAAAAAGTTGTTGCAAAGACCCCAAAGATGATACATGCAACAAGAACGTAACTCAAGACCTTACAAAAATCTACACTAAAGGATGCTATGGTTTTGTTCGAAAATATTTGTTAAACAACCTTCATGTGATTAGTGGATTTGGAATCTGGATTGCTGTCATACAAATAATGGGGATGATCTTTGGTTTGTGTTTGTGTTGTCAAATCAGGCACGGAAATGATACTTATGTTTGATAACTTGCCTACTTTCGTCCTTTTTTAACGGGAAATGCATTGCCTTTGCATTTGTTTTGTAAGCTTTCATATAAACCCAGTTTCCGTAAATGATCATGCCTGTATGGAGGACAAGAAGAGAGAATGCTAAAAGGTGGCTGTGGAGGGTAGTGTTCCGTTACTGATGTAAACCGTACTATTCCTTCAACAACCTGTCTTGAATAAGCACAAATTGTTTGTCCGATTTTGGAAACAACAAAATGTCATGGGAAGTCTTATTTCTTGAGAATTTAGCATTTCCCTTTCCTTATTGTTTAAAAATGCGATGCACACATTAAATCACAACGTTCCATTCAACCACTTTGTGTAAAGAATAAAACCAGTCGCGTAGCTGCCTTTAAGGCATTAAGCCCGAGCTTAACAAAAATGTGGGTTATAATGAGTTCATGTAAAATAATCGCACGCGACAAAGAATGATTGCACCTAATGGCGAAGTTAAGCTCTGGTACAGAAATCTTGCTGAAATCATCATTCATATGCGTGAACAGAGGCCCTATCCAATACACATGGGTTTTTGTGGAGGGCAAGAGCTATACCGTACAGTGTGAACACTGAATCTGTCGCTGAACCATCTTGTTTTTTTCAAGTAGGTACGATGTAGGGGTCCCTTTGCTACTTTGAGTACATGTAAAAATCTTTTTGGTTAAAAACTCTCCGAATTTCGTAGACTCTCTGCTCGTACATAACATCTAGTAAACCGTTTTCTCCTTGTTCGCTTGTTTGTTTTTTATTCGGTTGCAAGCGGACTGAAAAAAAGAGTCAATTTCATACCCTGGTTGACTTTGTTTATTCTGCATTAACACGGTTGCCTTGGCTTTGACAACTAAGAAGACACACTAAAAACAGTTGAAGACTTTACAACTGAGAAAGTCGCCACTGTGCTTATTTTTCTCCTCGCCATGTCAGTGTCCAATGCGACCCCAGAGACATGGGTTACTGTATGGGTTGTTTACAACTTACGAAACGTTTCCGGAAATATCGGTTGGAAAGTGAATGGAACAAGACCTTTTGGGTCGTTTCAGAGAAAACTTTCCGGGAGCAACGGAATATCTGAAAAGGCAATCTTGTTTTTCCAGACAGAATGTTCAAAACAGAACTGAATTCGTGTTCTATTTCTTAAAAGCCATCTTTGATACCTGTAGTTTCAGATTTTTGCGATAAATGTAACTGATTTGTTCGAAAATTAATGGTAAACGCGATTTCAGGAAGAAATTTGCCACTCCTGAATTTTGCCTATATTTGCCTAAACCGTGCACTGACCGGTTTGCCCATGTAAATGGTAAACAAATATGATTTTGCACTACAATACGAAGGGTGAGAAAAGGCATACGTGCGTGCACCCCTGGAAACAGCGAAACTGCTCATTAAGATGGGTACTGTCAAGCAAAATGCAACTGATTTTTTTCTGCCTTTATCCTTTCAATGACCGATCAACACTGTCTAACTGCTCTGTATTACAATGGCCACGTTAGAGAGTTGGCCGTACCGTGTAATATCAAACCAGTTCTTTCGGTAGGGGTGGGTGGAACCTTTTTTTTATAAAACGTTCTTCTCAGCTATTAATTTAATTAATGTAACACAATGAAATATGTCAACAAAATAGAACAAAAGTTCAGAATAAAAATGTTAAAGCAGGTTTACTACGTACAGTTATTAGTATCTTTTTTTATCAGCGTTTAGCCCGCCACACCGACCGCTTAATAGTCCGAAAGAGCCAAACAATAAAGAGTGAGGACTGGGGAGAGATAGGGCGGGACAGGGGCCGACCTGCACCTATTCCAAACAAAGGTTTGTGATTGGCTGGGAAAACAATAGGGATGGTGATATAACAATGGCCCTATCCCTGAAAACAATAGGTAGTGCAGGTTGAATGGGTGCAGGTCAATCGCAGGACAGTTTTATTTCTTATTCATTTTGGTAGCCATTTCCCTTGTGGAAAAAGTTTCTATAGAGAGATTAAAACAAGAGTAATGTATGGATGTAACGAGTGGATGCTGCTGTGCTGAACAAAATTTAAAAATTCTGAACTCCTTAATTTTTACGGCTAAAAAACGTATTTTAAAAGGAATTGACAATAAACTTTAAAACATGCACTTTATTTACTCACTGCACCTTATCATTACAAAAATATATTGGCATGACCTCCTGGGTAAGTACATTTACTAGGCTAAAAATTTACCACTAAAATAATTTCCACATACTTCCAGTCAATCCATAAATATCAACTAGAAAAATACGAATGCATTAGATATGCAGTAAAACCCTGTCAGTAACTACGATCACATCCAATAAAGAAATATTTCTGAGTATCGAATAGACGTACAAGAGATCCAGATGTACACGGGCGGGGTTTGTACTGATGCCCAATACACACTGCCTTAAGTCACACAAGAAACTCTTCATCACATTTCTCACATTAAATAATAATTTTTAGATTGAGACTTGCTTGTGTACATTAGATAATGTATATTGTTGTTTGCGGAGAATTATGTAAAACATTATCACGATTGATTAAAATATACCGGTAATTATGTAATCATTATTATATATTAATTTACATGAGGTGTTGATCATAATCTTTATAACCACTAGTTTGAAACACCCAGATCATTACAGAGAATAACTTAACGTCTTGGTTTTCATGTGAATTACAAAACCCCTCCCCCCACAACAATGCCGAAGATAACAGATCATTAGCTTACGCCTCAGCTTTGACAGCAAGTGGGACCCCACGGCTGGGCTTGTATGGTCCCTCCCTTGGTACCATCTTGATACAATCTACAAGGCAACAAATAAATAAATAAATAACGATTTAGCAATAGCAAATTCAAGAAGTGGTTGTTCGTCTACCATTCCTGGTCGAATTGGAATTTGGAAATGCTAGTGTTTGAGGAGAATGGAAATACTAAGAAAAAAAAAGCCTCTCGACACGAGGGAGGGAACCATCACCAAAATCAACCCACACAAGGCATCAACACCGGAATATGAACCCAGACCAAATTGGTGGGAGGCGAGTGCTCTCACCAATGTGCCACCATTGCTCCCACCAACAAATAAAAAGATGAAGAAACTCAAAGTCGGAGTAATCAGTCGAAGGAATCAGAAATTTCTCATGTAGTAGTATATGTATAGGTAATAGCATGATTTGTAGTGATATTTGGCATAAATACCACGAGTGATATTTCAAAATTGTTATACCACTGTTCTACGTAATTTCACGAGCCGTTGGGCGAGTGAAATTTGAGACAATTTTGAAATATCACGAGTGGTATTTCTGCCAAATATCACGTACAAATCATGCTATTATTTGTTTATACTACCCACAAAAGGTTTGTAATTTTCACATTAAAGCTGAAAAGCCAATCAAATTGCAGAAATTTCTCATGTAGTAATATAGTGTCACAAATACCGCCTGGTCCCCAGAAGAAAGCAAAGCACTAGGTAACAACAGCGCCATGAAAGCACAGGCAATCTCGATATAATAAGAGAACTTGAATATCATTACACAAATTCTAAAGGAAGGTCCTTCGCAGTATGCACTTTCATTAAATTTACAGCTGTGTGCAACCGATAAGAAAGAGAAATGAATGCAACGATCATTTGTACAAAAAACCATTGAAGGCCATTTTGTTTATGAAATTGGCGCATCAGCTTTTAGCTGTGGACTTCTAAATGGCATAGAACACGAGAAATGTGTGGATGGAATTTAAAAATCACCGATCAGGAAATTCGAATCGGGAAAAGGAAATCGACTTTTCAGAAACTGCGGTATTTTTTTCTTCAGTTTTGGCCCTGAAGTTTCCAGAAAAACGAAAAAAAAAAGTTCTTCATCTATTCACAAGGCTAAATTTGTCTGGATGAAAAGCACCTTAAGTATCTTTTTTGAGAACTGTTCACCTTACAGAAAGACAACAAAAAATACTGAAAAATGATGGGGACCGACTTTTAGTGCACAATATAGGAAGGATCCATTAAGAGGATTGACTGACTGGTTCAATATGGGCATTTCATACTACTAACCAATAACAGGACAAACTGAAAAGCACAAAGTACATCCAGTACAGTCCTCAGTCACATGAGGCAGATGGGTCTTGGCATCAAAGGTAATGGCTTGATAACCACAGTCATTACAGGTCATGTAGCACTTTCCGCAGTTAATGCACAAGTCTTCATCAATCAATGCCACAACTTGTTGCCTGTTATCCAAGTCACCATAAGTTCCAATACGACTCAGAGCTGCACCAATGACATCCTATTAACATGATTTAGAAGAAGTGAATTGAGATCTTTTGATTCGAGGACGAGGACGACTATGAGTACGAGATTTAACGTAAAGTTTTTTTCGCGTATTCTCAAACTATAGACTCCCCGGAAAACTTCATTTTACCATTTTTCACTAGAAAAGTTATCTTTAGTGAAGTTATCTTTAGTGAAGGAGGTTATGCGCTCTCCCGATCGCAAAATGATAAAACTTCTAACATTTGACAACTTATTTACGCTACTTCGACATTAGGGACCTTACGATCCAACAACGGCGGCGCCAATGAAAACGTTGCTGCCAAATAGACTTTGCGTCCTTTAAAACTTTTTCGCCCTTTTACCAAGTCACCCAGTTACTTGAAAGGAGGGAAGTTAGGTTGGAACCGAAGAGAGGGGACTGCGTGCGAGTTTAGAGAGAGAAAATAAAATTTATCGTCTTGCCGTTCCCGTTCTCAAGTCAACTCAAAATTTATAGTCATTTCACGTTGCAGTTGTGCAGGGACGGCAAAGAAATGTACAAAAAAGCGTGATGCACGTCAGAGTTGTTGTTTTGCTCATTAAATTTTTTGCTTTTTTGACGTTCCCGTTGCCGTCGCCGTCGTTGTTTCGTAAGGTTCCTATTCTCGCTAAGACTCGTAGAAGAGTGACGACGGCTATCACGTTTTCCCGCCAAAATGATGCTGGTTCACGCGCAAGCCCTATTTAGTGCTAAGAAGATCTCGTACTTGTTGTCGTACTCGTCTTAGAATCTAAAGATAAATTTAATCACAGATTTATAATACTTTTATATCAGGACAAACCATCATGTGCTCCATGACAGGTAAGCTAAGAAGGCCATTTGGTATTACTAGGTGATACACTTAATGAGTGATGTAACATTATTTTAGCCTGCGTCAGTGGCAGTCACATTGGAAATGTTAGGCGCAAGTTATACAGTACATGCGAGAGAGGAGGAAATGCGCATCCTACTCTTCCCTCCGATCTTGTTTGCAACATTAATTTCTCGTGAGCTTGCTACGATACCTACATTACTTTGTATTACCTTAATAAGCGGAGCCGCCTTGTCTGGTTTATAGGCAGGTCTGACCTTCTCTGGCTCAAATTTTTCACTCAACAAATCGATCTTCTCTTTATGCTTTGCTACAATACTTTCTCGTTCTTTAAGGTATGGTCCAAAACTGGGCAGAGACTGCAAGAAACACACACATATATTCTGGGTAAGTTCAAGTATGCGCAGAAGGCAAAATGTTAAGAGTTTGGATAAAAAAGAGGGATTGCCTCCTTGACTTTTATAATTATTCTCTCTTCCCCGTCCAGTTAAGGCAGGTCAAGCGTACCCCACCAGATTGTATTAATGAACTGATTATTCGAAAAATGAATCCGTTAGTCGTTGCCGTAACTAGTGTCAAATTCAAAGCGGCATTTCTGCATGCGTAATGAGCAGTGAATATTTTACGAGAACTTCTCTGTATCTTGTAAGATAAAAAAATCTTTGAATGGATTAATTTCCTTTCGTGGTAGACATGTCGTACCTGCCTCGCGCGTGAATTCACGGCTCATTACGCATGCAAGAATGCAGAGATGAATCTGAAATCTACAACTACCAACGGATTCAACTTTCGAATAACAAATTCAGGCCATAAATTCATTAATGAAATCTTGGGGGTACGCTTGACCTGGTTTGACTGTAATCTCTTGTACACTAGGGTTCAATTCAATGAGCTTTAACATGCTTAATTTACGAGAGTCGCTATTGTTCTCCGACCCTCAAACAACAGTTACACTAGAATATTACAATTAATTAAAACGAGTTAAATTGACCTCTGGTTGCCTCCTGACAGGCTGCCAGTTGTGTTCTGATATGTTAAATCATTTGAGAGAAGCACCTGTGGATTACTTAGATCAGTTGACTGCGGTTGCTTTATCTTATGTCTAAAAACAGGATGTACCATCATTTAACCATAGTTAGAAAAATTCTCTGCCTTAAAGAGGTCCTTATTATGCAGGGCCAGATATTAAAAAAGAGGGTCATTTGTATATGTTAGAAACGGAAAACATGGCATGATTTATCGACCTTAAAAACACAAATATATTACCCATTTTAAACAGAAGTAAATTGCATGAAGAAAGCATACCTTTCCAACAAGTTCAGCGATTTTAGGAACAAGTTTGCCTTTTTGATGTTTAGGAGTAGGAGGACTTTGCCCATTCCAGTCTGAGAGCTCATGAACAGATTGGAGATAAAGCAAACACTTAAGTCCAGTGGTATAATCATCAATCAGTGTGAAATCCTGATTCTGAACGGCACTTGATATCTGACAAGGAAGCAAACACGTCTTTGGTTATGAACACTATAATAGCTTATATGTACAGAGATTAAAACTCACTTAAACAATACCCTGCAGGCATAGGCTACCTTTACGCTGTGTTAACTGACGTGCAAAAAGAGGTTACTTTCCGCACGTGAGTACACACCGCAAAAATATAGCCTCTGCTCACAGGGTACTGTCACTGGCGGTTTTGGCCGAAATACAAGACGTAAGTTTATTATTCTCCAAGCCACGGCATCAGAGAAACATTTATGTTCAAATTCATGGGATTTTTAAACCTCACAAATTAAGGATTAATTATGAGAACTTAAAGAATAGGTCTTATCACGGTTTTCGACGCCATCTTGACGAGTAGGTAACCGCGTGAGAAATTACAGTGTTTGTATGAGAATTTAATGTCGAATAATTTCCGTAAAACGGCTGTTCTGAAAAAAATATGAACTGTAAACTAAAGCTACACAGCAAAGGATTTTACTATCACATTTTGGGGACGGTTACTGAGCTTAAATTTCTCCAGACGCTTGCTTCAGATTTTCCACATATTTGTCTGCAATTTTTTTCCCGGGAAACGTTTACAGGCAAATGTATAGAAAATTTTAAAACGTGGTTCTAACGCATATAGCTGAATGTAACGACCTCAAATTTTTTCCGAAGAATCGTTAGGCGTGAAAATTTAGTTTACAATTCATATTTTTTTCAGAACAGCCATTTTACGGAAATTTTTGGACATTAGATTCTCACACAAACACTGTAATTTCTCACGCGGTTACCTACTCGTCAAAACCATGATAAGGCCTATTGATTGAAAACCCGAACCTTTTCTTTTTGTGTGTTCTTTGTTTTATTTGGCGCGAAAGTCGAATCCTCTCATCTACATTTTTCTCTTCCATTTCAAGCGCACTGCAGTAAAAGTTTTCATTGCAAAAGCGACAGTCGTATTTAACAGATACTGCAGGTACAGCTTAAAGAGTAGCAAAACCGATCATTATCCACTTCCTCGTAACGCTTTGCAGTTGTCAAAAACAAGACAGGTGGCAGGCTCACGCTAGTGCGAAAATTTACCCTTTTGCCATAACCACCTAAAACCCGGCAACCACGATAATCAGTTTTATTTAAATTTAAAACCAAAATAGATAAAGCATTTGCTATAAATGCCTTTCTTAGCCCCAGAAATACAAGGATTTTATTTCGGAGGGGCTTCATAATGTTTGATCTCGGGTTTTCCTTGTTTGGCTTAAGCGAGTTTCCTATACGCATAAGAGATCTTGCGTGACTAGCTTAGCGCGTGAGGTAATTGTGCAAAAAAAAAAATTGTAGTAAGCCACCTTGATATTTTGTGAGAAACAATTTTCACAGCCGGCTACCTGAACTGCAGACGCTCCACAGTGAAGGAACTGTAAAACTGCCTCAGCACTGTCTGCTCCACCAGTAGCCAGGATTGGAAACTCAGGCAAAGCTCTTCCAATAGCCGATACGGCTCGCAGTGCAATTGGACGAATAGCATTACCAGATACGCCACCATAAGTTGTCCTTTGTTCTTTGCCAACTGCAGGCCATGCAGCACCACTTGGACGCAGACCCATCAAACCAGACACTGTGTTAGTTGCAGTCACTCCATCAGCGTTACCTGTTTCCAGACAAGAGTGTTTAATAACATTACGTGGAGCGTTAAGAAGGAACACTGCAGCTTAAACACAGGGATGACGGAGCCAAGGGGGCTAGGGTTGCTTTAGCCCCCACTTTTCCTAAGAAATAGAGAGGACAGTGCACTCCTTAACCTCCCACCCACCCCAAATTTTTAAATGTTCCACCCTACTGTAAAAAGAAACACCCAGTTCATGAGTCATAAAGGTAAAGATAACGATTACCAGAGATAACATTTCATCATTCGAAGCAAATTTTTCTTTCTTTTCATTGGCCGAGAGCCCACCGCGTGACCTGCAAATAACTGCCTACAAATAATGGTCTGTTCAATTGCAATGTCGTCCAACTGTGTTTGGCTGCTCATGCGTATAAGACACCACGCTTTTCTCCTTCTTGCGATCACTCTTGCGTGAAAATGGCAGATCGCTTCGCTTCCCGAGGATATTCATTGAAAAACAAACTCGGTGATCGAATGATAAAACAATTACTGAACTCGGTAATCGCAAAATATCATGATTTGTCACAGTCTCGTAGATCAGTTTCGAATTCGTCACGGCCGCTGAATAGCTAGGGGCACTGACGAGTCATTTATACTTAGTTAGCCTCGACCTCAATTAAAATATTCACAAATGCCGGCGAGAAGGTGCCTAAATTTGAGTTTAAAACAATAGATAAAGTTGTACACGGGTCGTCTGAGTGGAATTTGAGAATATATTTACATCAGGTTGAGGCTAACCCTGTACACGAGTCTTAAATGCTTCTGTTCAGCGGCCGCGACAAATTCAAAACTGGACTATTATTTGCCACAGCCTTCGGCTTCCGGCTCGCCACTGACAAATCACGATATTTTGCTCACAGGCAATTCTTTCCTGACGTTCCTGGTTACACTTATAAAACGTTATTCACAAAGACTAGTGTGGAGAACTAAGGGCTAATTAACTGATGAACGGACCATTTCACACTCTAAGGATTGAATTAAACTTTTTAAAACAGAAATATTTCAAGGTGCATTAATTAAATAGCAGCTCAAAAAAAACAGTAGGAAAAACAAGGTACGCGTAGTTCGGTTTTGTCGTTCGCCTACAGGTATTTTCTTTCAACAACCATAATCTTTTTGTTTTGCATGGCCAATTAACTAGTGTGATGATGAAAATATCAGTGTTGTTACGTTCACTTTCTTTAATGTCTGGAAGTCCTACCTTCTTTAGCAGCTTTTGCAATGTCCACTATATCTGTAACATTTGGGGTTAATTTAGCAAAAAAAGGAATTTTAATGGCAGCACGCACCCATCGGCAAATGTTACGCACCAATTCAGCATCCTAAAGCGAAAACAAAAATTTGATCATCTTAAGCATGATTACGGTAGCCTTAATCAAGACACTCCAAAAATTGAAAAAATGACTTATTCAAGATTGCGCGCTTATCCACTTGCGCCAAGTAATGTGACAAGTTTTCATAAGCTATTAATAAGTTAATATCATTATTCCACTGATTTGAAAAAACACGAAAACATTTGTCAAAGTAAATAGAATGCAGCAATACGCCAGCGCCAGAAACAAATTATCCTTTGCAAGATTCCTTTTTAATGCTAGAAACGGAATAAACAAGACTTGAACGCTCAGCACTGACTGTATATTGGCCATTACAAGCACTAAGAACTGCATGTAATCCACATCATACCTGACCACAAGCCAATCCCATGCCTTTCTCTCCCATACCATGAGGACAGGACAAGTTGAGCTCCAAAGCGTCTGCACCTGATTTCTGAAGAAAGCAAAATAATACACGCCTGTAAAAAAGCCATTTGTGATTTTTCAATGACCAGTACAGGCGGATGTTCCAGTTATCGATGTTAAAAAGGAGATTGATGATAAAGCCACTCTAGGAATATTATGTCTACCCATCTTTCCAACACTCTACTTAGCCTGTATCGCAGATTACCTAACTGTTGTTAGTAACGTCTGCAAAACAGCGCCTATATCCTTGTTCTGGGCTCCCAACGGACTCAACAAATAACCGGAAAGGCCTTTCGAATTTCCCTTTGACCTGAATGGCCAATTGATTTAACAAGCCAATCATAGTCAGTACTCAATTCCTTGTACCCAGGAGGGGGACCAGAACAAGGACTTTGGCTCTGTTTACCAGACGGACATGACTTAAAGTTTAGGTCCATCTGTGGCACAGGCCACCCTCTGCTCTCCTCCACATATTATGAATCAAACTGTAAGCCAAGTACTGCTGCCACTGCTGCAACACCCATTTTCTCTTATTCCCACCATTATTGTTCATTACTGTACTAGAGCACTTCTTTATCATCATCATCATCATCATATATGGACTACCTAAAGTTCTCTTAAACCACCTACAGCTAGTTCAGAATAGAGCAGCACGCATCGTAACATTCACCATATAACACCTAGCTTAATGGACTTACATTGGTTGCGTGTTGAATACCGTATTATTTATAAAATCTTATTGTTAGTATATAAGGCTATCACCGGACTTTCACCAAGTTATATATCCAACTTGCTCAGTTTTTGTAGCAGCTCCTATTCTTTGCGTTCTTGCTCGAATAAGTTACTTCAAGTCCCGAGATCTAAGCTAAAGTCTTATGGTGATCGAAGATTTTCTATTGCAGGACCTAAATTATGGAACAGCATACCCGCATCTTTAAGGAATGCCGATTCCTTGAATTCTTTCAAAAAACACTTCAGGCGACTCGACCCAGTTATTTTTGAGGGTACCACCCTACTTTGACGCTCTCTGGTATCCCCACCTTTACTTTGATCGTAAGTCTAACATATAGCATGGATAACACATAGATCAATCTACAATATAGCATAAAATATTTGGCCATCGGAGTAAATGTCACGTGGTTATAGTGCCACGCCTCTTTGGGGTCTGAGTCGAAATTCTGCTGTTGCCGGCATTTTTTGGTGAAAATCTCTCGGCTACACATAGTGGGTATTAGTGCCTTGCGTTGAACAGAGTTTCACCAAAATCGCAAAGACCCAACGCGTGAAATTCAGCGGTTTCGAAATTTCGGTCATAATTTATGCGAAAATGATAAGCAAACTTTACACGATTATATCTAATAACTATGAGATTTATCCCTTTACTTTGGGGATAGTTATAACAGATGGGTCCTTAAAGTTAAGTTTATTATAATTGTTTATTATTATCATCATTATCGCCATCATCTGCCACCGTCACCGTTTTCATCATTGTCATAATCATCATCATCATCAGCAGCAGCAGCAGTAGCATTATCATTTCCTTACCCAAAGTAGGGAACGGGCAGACCAACACTCCTTTAGCCTAACTTCTAACTGAAGTTGTGTCTCAGAACTCTCAACAACCCAGCCATTGGAACCTTCTATGTGACAGGCGCCAATATGGCTGCCACGCTTTTCGCTGCTCTTGTAGGTTTTATCTTTTTTATCTTTTTAAACCTAAGATTAACACTATGCGCTTTAAAAACTCTTTTATTAATCGTTTAGTTTTTAAATATGAATTAGCTATGTAATATACTAGATATATATACCGGTATATATTTTTTATTTCTTACTTTTTAACTTTTTAAATTTCTTACACTTACTTGTAACAAAAGATATGTATTTTTATCTCTTGATGAATAAAGACTTTATTTATTTATTTATTTTATTCATAAAGGACCCACTGGTTATTAAAAGAAAACGCTGATCTCTTGGCGGGTCCAGTCTCTGCGATCCTCAACTCCTTGTTCCACGAAACCCGCCTTCCGCCTTCTTGGAAAGAGGCTGACGTTGTCCCGGTCCCAAAACAAAGGCCTATTAATGACATTAACAAGCACCTCCGTCCGATTTCCCTTACGCCTATCCTGTCTAAACTCGCTGAAGATCACATTGTTGAGAAGTACGTTAAACCTGCTGTGTTACAAAGAATCGACCCTCGACAATTTGGAACTATTCCCAAATCGTCTACTACACATGCCTTGGTCAATATGACGCATAATTGGCTTGTTAACACCGACGGAAATGGTGCCACGGCAAGAGTAGTCCTACTTGATTTCCGTAAGGCCTTTGACCTTATCAATCACAGTGTTCTTGTTCAAAAACTAACAACATATGATATTCCGAGTCAAGTCAAAGGCTGGATTGTTGACTTCTTGATGGACCGGAAACAAAGAGTTAAACTTGCTCAGGATTGTCACTTTGAATGGCGCTCTGTACCATCCGGTGTCCCCCAGGGAGCAAAACTAGGCCCCTGGTTATTTCTTGTCATGATTAATGACTTGGACACACCAGTTGACACGTGGAAATACGTGGATGATACATCTTGTTCCGAAATAGTTACAAAAGGGTAGTGAGAGCAAACTCCAAGAAGCTGTGGATGACCTTTCGAGACAAGCGAGTCTCGATGGGTTCCAACTGAATGAGGCCAAGTGCAAAGAACTTCGAATTGGATTCTCCAACAGCAACCACGATTTTGAACCCCTAGTCCTAAATGGCAAACCCCTTGAATTAGTCACCAGTGCCAAATTGCTAGGCGTGACCATTAGCCACGATTTAAAGTGGAACATGCACACCTCTGAACTAATTAGAAAATGTTCCTCTCATCTCTACTTTTTACATCAACCCAAGAGATCCGGAGTGGCACCAAGTGAACTGGTGCAAGTCTATGTGACATGTATTAAGCCCGTCCTGGAATACGCGAGTCCTGTATTCCATCATTCTCTACCAAACTACATCAGTGAAGATTTGGAACAGATCCAAAGAAGGGCATTCAGAATCATCTATCCTGACCTGTCATATAGTGTAGCACTAGAAACAGTTGGCCTACCGAAACTTCATGAGATCAGAGAAAAGATTTCAATCAATCTGTTTGACGAGATCGTCTGTAACCCCACCCACAGTCTCCATAGCCTCCTCCCCCAAAGGAAGAGTTGTAAATATCCACTGAGACGCAAAAGTGATTTCACTCTCCCCCTATGTAAAACCAAGTGTTTGAAGAAAAGTTTTATTTTTAGCCATGTCTATAAGATGTAGATAATTTTCTTATTTTCTCTTTGTTATCATCAGTATTTGTAAATATCCCGTAATTCAGCCTATGGCTGCAATGGTGTTTATAATAAAGTATCTATCTATCTATCTTGCTTCTTGCCAGATGGAATTCTTAACCTTGCTATATTAACTGTAATTATATGTTTCAAATTATTTTTTTGCTTAGTCACAATTCCTCCCAATACAAACCTCTGCCATTTTAGCCAGTTCTGTCCAGTCTTCCTTAGAATAACCACACATGATACTAGCAATCAATATCTGGAAACAGAAGTGCAACACATGCAATCACTCAAATAAAATGTAAACTACTGTGCAGTAATTAATAGTACTATTGCGTTTTGAGTCAGATACTAAACAACGAGAGTTAGAGTCCTAAGCTCAATGAGTATCTTAAGTATCAAACTCCAAATCCATAAAAAACTTAAGTGTCTTCTTTTTATTCAAATATACCATACGCTCTTTAGTCAGATCACCTACCACTGTACACTTGATGTGCATGCCTGTTTAAGGTTGTTGTTCTCGTTATTGTCGTTATTTGTTGTTTACATTGTAAAGAACTATGAGCTCAGGATAATGAGCGCTATATAAAAAAAGTTATTATTTTAAAGGGAAATATACTACTGATAAAATTCATAAAAAGTACATCCGGGACCTGAGTGGTTTATTTTCCATAATATCACATGTGAGTTAATCCATGACGTAATTTCGGTAATTTCCCTCTATTATTTTATCAATGTCTTTTTGTCTACATGATAAACAGCACATTACACGGCGGGTTGAAGATATGAATTTTATTTTCTCGATGCAAAAACAATATTTCACTCACTCGCTCCGCTCGTTCGTAAAATATTGTTTTGCCACTCGAAAAATAAAATTCATATCTTCACGCCGCCGTGTAATATCCTCTATATAATTATTATTATTGTTTGTAGTTGCTAGTACATAATTCACTAACTAAAAGCACTACTGCATGTGTCCCGAGCCCCATTAAGATTTCAGAGCTGGTCGATTTTCATTTTAATGCGTATGAATCGCTTGCATCAAAAATAACAATTATAATATAGCAATGCTTATCACTATGGGGAGGCGTGTGTGGCCGAGTGGTTGTCAGTAGCAATAATCCTGGGCATGCTTCATGCTGAGGAAACCGGGATAAGCTCCTGCCGTTTGGGAATTTGGCTTGTGTGCGCCTTTACCTTACCTTAAGATAACTATAAAATTGAATAGATAATGTAAGAGTAACATTACATTAAATTTCATATCATCATCCACATTACTATACAAACTCACAAAGTGACCAGTTCCTAGTTGGCTTGACAGCTCAAAGGTTAAGAGCATTGCACCGGTATCACAGAAGGCCTGGTTTCAAACTCAGCTCAATAAAGAAATTTTTCAAGTTTCCTTTTTGCTTAACTGCTTATTTAACTTCCCATACACATCATTTAACAGAGTATTAAAATAATGTATGCAATTTCCAAAGGAAAGCTATATACCTTGTCTGGAAAATCCTTCTTTAGTTCAGTAACAGATCGGCACCAGTATGCTGCAGTCTTCTCGCTGATCAGCTCAATATTCAGGAAAGCACCTTGGCCAGGACCAAACAAGTGACCTGATGTGGTCCCACGTACAATACGAGGAGATACATTGGTTACAATATCCTGAACATTATAACAAAAGATAGCTAGACATTTTAAAAAACTGGATTTCTACCTTTTAGCAAACAGTAAAATTTTAAAACAATAATAATGACAAAAACACAATTCTGATCTGCAATACATCACCAATGTTTTCTCAAATGCAAAACATTTCTATGTACTATGAGATTCACTGATTTTTGTCCTAATTTAGATATGCAAGGGCAAACTAACGAGCATAGATACAGGAGAGAAATAAAGACAAGATGAAAGTTAGCCAGATTTTATAAACGGTGGGACAAAGGAATTAAGAATACAAGTCCACAACAACAATTTGAATACATGCTTTCTGAACCTCAAGGAACAGTTCAAATTTTTTTCTATTTCAACCAATGACAAAAGTTATTAAAAAGTGAATGACTCCAAGTGAACCAAAGTCATTTGGCTGAGTCAAGTACCTTGTCCAGAGCAAATGTCTTGGTTACAGCAAATCCCCAACCAGCTTCAAACCCTCGTCTGATCATAGCTGCACTGGTGGTGGGAGGGGCACTTGCTAAACCAAACGGATTTTCAAATTTTAATCCACAGATTTCCACACTTAAGTCCACATTATCTATTTCAGTGTAAAACTTGGGAAGACTTGGTTCTTTGGGTACAGGCAGACCATATAGTGACTACAATAGGAAACAAAACAGAAGAGCAGTTTCCTTGTGTTGCCAAATGCTCCGATCTCCGATCACCAATTTGAAAGGAGTTAGAATGAATTTCATAGTCGAAGGTTCAAACTGTTGATTAGCCAGAAATTTAAAACCAGGGTTACCACTCTTGCTGAGCCAATAACTTACCAATCTGGGTTATTGATGACAGTTACAGTGTAAAACGTACATATATGACAAAGGGCTGCTATGCACAAGACCCCCGGCTACTTTCATAGGAAAATAGAAGAAAAATAGAACCAATATAATTTAATCCCTAGCTGTTTGATTCCCCACCTACTTGTTGTATTTACCCGGGAACTTAAAATCTTAGTGACAGACCTGTATACGGGATGGAACCTCAATAAACTCAATGCTCCCACTGTTTGAAAGACATTATTTCCTAGTCCCTTTTGGCACTGTATTTTATCAGGGTTCCACTGTACTAAATGAGTGACAATTAGCAATAGGAAATAGGAAAGCCTAGCTAAACTACAAATGGGAGTGTATGCATTGAGGTAACTTAAGAACATGACCCAAACCTGTAAATATTTATGCATATGCCAAGCAGCCTGTTTGCCATCATTAGTACTCTCCACAGTAGTGTTGGCTACTCCAGCAACATCTCCTCCACAAAACACTCCTGGCTCACTACTTCTCATGGTATCTAGGTCCACTTCAGGCAAGCCCCACTTGTTGAACTTCAGTGGTGCTAAGGCTTTGATAACTAGAAAGCAAGAAACCCTATTATGTCACTTCCTTAAGTAAAAACAAAACACTTGAAGGACATTATAGTAGACCAAAATTAATAGACCAAACTTGCATAGAATCAACCTGGAAGATGTGGTTCGATCTTTTCATGAACCTCTCTGAATCAAAAAATGGTCTTTACATGAATAATCATACCACTTTGAGAAAAATAATTCTTAAGTCAGATATACTCGCCTCTTAACACATTTCTATTTTTAAAAGTACTATTAGTCAATACAGCACAAAATAAATGTCACAGATTGTGGTAACAGGTAAATGGCTGCTCCTGGATCCATAGCAGTTAGTGGAATTGAGGGTCCTGAAGTATATCAATAGGATTGTGATCATGCAATGCTGCACAGTACACTGTACTGAGCACTTATCTTAGCTTAAATTCTTTTACAATGAGATCCGTGGATAACTTTGGGGACTTACCATCACTGTCACTGAGGGTGGAGCCAAAAGCTGAAATTACAAAGTTTGCTTTTATCTTCAGTGTCTGTTCTTCATCCTCAATCCAAGTTCCATCCTCCAGCTAAAAGAAACATGAAATGTGCCATATTGAACAATTTCTTGATTAATGAAGGCAGTAAGTTTCTTTACACAGGCAGAATAAATACTGTAATGAATAAATAATCTTTCACCAAAACTATGCAGTTCTGGAGGAGTGATATATACTTGGTTCTTTTGTTGGTTCTTTAATTCTGAAAGTTTCATATTTAAATCTCAGTAGACATCAGTTATTATAGCTGACAAAATACAAACCTGCTCGGTCTTATAGAATTCCATTGAACAAATTTTTCCATCCTTAACATGGACCTAACAAGACAAAACACACTGAAATTACACAAAAGCTGACTGCATGCAGGAGTCTGCACTTACACTGATTTCTGTCAGCAGAATTTATTGACCTCTGTTTGCAAGGATTTGGTTTTGTGCTGACCTGGCTCACCTGTTCTGCAGGTAGCTTGCTTTGTGAATTAATATTGAAAAAGACAAAACCTCAGTACTTAAGACATTAATTAAAGCAATACCCACATACTAATCTTAAATAAATGCCTAACATTAAATGGTCTTCAATAACAGAAATTTTCTGTTATTGAAGACCATTGCACTAAAAACCTGACAGCAAGTCTAAGCCAATCACAACAACACTCTTGACCACCAAAAATACATATGGACAAAACTGTAATGGAATTATAGCTTAATACAGGTATTAACACCAAACTAATTTTTTAAAAATGAGAATTAATGATTACCTTTTTCGGTGAAAGAAATGGCAAGAACTCACACTTCTCTTCAACTGCCAGTTGCATCTAAAAGTGTAAAAATAATGAAGTCAAACTCAAAACCTGTAAACTCCTGAAATATTTCAGGAGTGCATGTTTCTTATGTTGTGATCAATCACAACAAAGATCAGGACAAGTGCTGGGCAACCCATAATACCACAAACAAATCAGCACTTGAGGTTTTAATTCGTTTTCTCACACCAGACTGACTATAAATTCCTTGTAACACAATAAATTCCAGTTTACAGCTTTTGAGTTTCACAATCATGATCTACAGCTGTGCCAATAATAAGAAAATAACCTGATACACAGTATGATGAAGATTTAGGAGGATATTAAATCCCCTTTAATGTACTGTTTTGATCAAATAAAGCCCTTTTCCTACCTATATATGGGATGAGGGTTTTTATCAAAATAATGGCAATCACTGGAAGGAAACTAACCTCTTCTGGGACAGCTCTTATGTTGGTGAATCCCTTCCTAAATATAACAAACACTTTCCGAGCTCCACAACGAAGTGCTGAGGTGCAGCAATCAAAAGCAGTGTCTCCACATCCAAGAACAATGACATTTCCAAACAATTCTGGTAACTTTGACTTGCATGAGCACATACCTAGAAAATAACAAATCAACAGTTTCTAACAACCTCCTCTGATTAGTAAAATTATCAGCTCCTTGGTCATCGAACTCAAAACTATTAATAAATCAGTAACTTTTAATGATTAGGTTACTTCTGTCTGGTACTGTATTTTAAGGCATTGTTCTTAGCTCCGCCCACTTGGTTGTAGCTTCTGCCATTCTCTTCCAAGTGTATTTTTGGATACACAAGGGCTCGTCTACGTAACAAATTACAACATCTTCAACATGAGCCTCTCTGCTCGCTTGCATAGTTGGGTCATAATTTTGACCTCTTCTTGGATGTTTTGCTGGATAACTGGTACAAACCCAGGAATAAAAGTCCATTCTGAGTCGTCACAATCAACACAAGTCAGACATCTTATTTAGACAGGAAGATGGTGGTTCAACTATAAAGTAGGAAGCTAAAGCAATGACGACGATGACCGCAACAAGAACAGCAAAATTAAAAGTAAGAAAGCAAGAGGTTTGGATTAGCAAAACATTAACTTTTGTACATTTCTTAGTTGTTGTTGTACGACCACAACATGAAACTTCCTAATTTCCCTTTTGTGGAGAATATTAACACAAGACAACTATATTCTATTTTTTTTTTAAACTACAGTCTCAGTCATAATTGTCGGGACACTTTTGTGTCTCCTTGTCCCCTCAATGTTGGTGCACAAGGTTTGGTGACTGAACTGCGATAAACCACTTTTAGAGGGACAAGAGGAGCACAAGAACGAAAAAAAACGGGTTTTGTACAAGTGTCCCAACTATTTTTGCCTGAGACTGTAGATACAGTCATTTAGAATTTAATTCCAAATAAATTCATCAACATTTGAAAAATTGAACAACATGGAATAAGAGCGATGAACATACTCTAAGGAGAACAATGCCTCAAAATACATCCTTTGCCCTAGGCCCAAAATGGCACGGCCTATGATATAATTCTACATTTTTTAAAAATCAGTAGAAAAATAAGAGTAATCTAAAATGGAAAACAATCGGAGGCATCGTTTATTACAAGTTATCCTTTCTTGTTTTATTCTTAAACAAACTTGAGGGGTCATGAACTTTAAGGGAAGGTTGCAAACCAGCTTGTAGTGTTTAATGATCATTTTTAAGGCCTGTCTAAACAAATGATGTAAGCTTAATGAGCACAGAAAACTTAATGAGCACAGGAAACCTAATGTGCAAACCACTGTAATGCAAACATGATTGAGCACTGCTTGTCGAGCTTGTGTCTAAGCTTGCATCATCTACAGCAAAAGAATGCAAGCACAACTAGAGGTACATGTACGTAACTTACCTGCCTTACTAGCTGTGGATACTATTGGTAGGAAGTCTTTGGAAGTGTAGAACCCACTATGAATATTCAGCCCATCAAAAATAGGTGACAGTTTGGGTTGAGGAAGACCTAACGGACAGAAAGAATCTGTGTTAATCATAAGGCATTGCACAAACATAGTTATAACACTGCAGTATCCTTAATTGTTATTCACTTATCCTATCAGTCAAAGTGGGTTGTTTCTTTGCGTGCACAATTAATTACAAGCACATTTAATTTATCATGTTTACTCATTTCATTGAACTATGCAGCTGGTTCATCATTTGTCGGTTTGTATTGACTTTCCAATGTTTTCCTAACTAATTTGCCTTAGCTTGTGAGTTACACTAGTGCTTCCATTGTGGGTGACTCCTCTAAATATGTTCCACAACTGGTATCCTTGTGACGACAAGTTACAAAATACAGCTGATGTACAGATATTTCCAGCATTAAAAATTTGCCATCTGTCCCCTTCCAATAGACTTGTTTATGATCACAATTTAATGTCCCGAATCATCAGGTTTTTTTTAGCTCAAATCATCATTTGTATAGGCATTAACCAAATATATGTCCAGGTACCTCAGGGTGTTCATTAAGCATTGGAGATCAGAGAATTCACCATTTACTACGCAGAATTCTCTGGCTAATGTTTGGTAGCCTAAGCAAGGTTGTCAAAAGTACCACCTACTTGGTTAGTATCAGCCAGCTACTCTGCTTGGCATTTCTTTACAATTGCTCTTTTTAAATAAAATACCCCTGGACTGGCCACTTACTTTGACAACTCAGCCGTCTACTTTCTGACAACCCTGCTATAACTATTTTTATTCAGATGTGAAGCCTCTTTCAAAATATTCTCTTGTAATGTTACACCTTTCTCCTGCTAATAGAATTCTTAATGAAACCCCTGGTACCTAGCTAGTATAATTTGATTTCAGGTTACAACAATTGTAAAAAAATTATTTTCAATCTCGATTGATTCTCAATTTCCTTTGTCTTCTAGGGCTCGGAGACAGGAAATTGAGAATCAACCTAGGTCAAATCAAAATTGACCTGAAATCAAATTTGACCTGTAATATTTATATACACTGTAGCTCTCTCAAGCCGACAAGAGAGTTTGGCCAGTCTTGACAGAGCTTCACAGGTCTCCTTGTAGGTTTTTACTCCTGATCACGCAAAATGGACACCTCATAATGACAAGGATCTGAAGGGAGCTCATGCCCAAGGATCCTGAGCTTAAAGAAATTTCACTCAGTCCTAAAAGCTATGCTAGAGGTTTACTCACCAATACCAACAAATATGCTCTCGTATCCTTTCTCTCTCAGAGATTTAATTGACAGGCCATTCTTGCCCAGAGGCTTACCAAGCTCAATCTAAACAAAATTGTTTGAAATAAATCAGATACATTTTGCATCCTTTGTGTTTTTCTTATGATGACCTCCAGTGAGTGTATATTATTTCCAATTTCTGTTCCAAACATCGATGTCAAGATAACAGAGAACATGAAAAAAAAATTTGAACAGTTAAACAAGTGTATTAGTATCTGTCATGCATATCACACTGTACCTTCACCCCAAGATCCTTCATTAGCTCCACTTCAAAATTGACTGCATCGTATGGAAGCCTATACTGTGGAATCTCAGAAGAGCTATTGACAGATTGAACAACACAGATGATTACTTGTTACTTGACACATGAAATCATAACAGCAATAATGCACCCTTATCATAAGGTCTTAATTTTTTTAACTTCTTACAGATCTTAAAATAAACTCTTACTGCCAAGATTAACAAAATGAAAGCTACAATAGGTTGAAATGACTGTATGGCAAATTGCACATTTCAATACTTAGTAAAGATAACTGCAGATACTTCAGATAAAAGTATTTTGAGCTTAATTAATCAATCAATTAATCAATTACCTCAAGCCACCAATGAAATTTTCCTTCTCAAAAATTGTTAGGTTGGTGTAACCAAGACGAGCTAAAAATGTTGCACAACTGATGGATGCTGGACCACAGCCAATGAGTGCCACCTGATAAAAGTATAAGGAAGATGAATGACCAAGGTAATCAGCATCAGTCACAGCACTTGAACTTCAAAAAGCCAGAATTTGGACTTCTTTCTGGGATAGGAAACAATACAGATGATTTGTGCTGTTCCAATTAGCCAAAATGTCACCATTGATTAGTTGTTATTGTCTGCATTTTTGCTTGCGCAAGGAGCAGTGAATACACATGCAAGTTCATTATGAAATTTCTGCCAGCTCAGTTTTCTTGAATTTGAAGAATGTTCTAAATAGAAATTTGATACATTGAAATATTTCCATCTCACTGTATACTTAAAAGGTGCCGTCAAAAATTCACCAATCATTTGAATGCAATTTGTTACCGGGTACAAGTTGATAGATAGATAGATAGTTTAATAACCAATACATTGCAGCCCGAAAGCTGAATTACATATTTACAAATGATTGAACTGATAAAATGTGTATACAAAACTAAGTACAGTAAATATAAAAGTATAAAAAATATGATAAGTAATGGTAACAGGACTGAGTGGAGTCCAATTCGGTCTGTAATCATACGAGTGATTAACAAAATTGGACGACCGCGTAGCGGGAGTCCAATTTGTTTAATCACGAGTATGATTACAGACCGAATTGGACGACACGAAGTTCTGTTACCAATTAATCATAACTTTAACAAAATTTGTGATATAATAAGCTATTTTTTAAATCAAAACACAAGAAATTCGAAATTTTGTTTTGCTAGCAGTGAGAAAAAAGCCATTTAAGCGCGTGCGTGATGGCACGTACTGTCCAATATTACTTAGGCATGATGCATACTGTCCTATTAAACTGTCCAATTAAGGCTGAAATCAGGGCAGTTGATAGCCAATCAGATTTGACAATTTTGTTATGGTTATGATTAAGGGACTAAAAATCTACGTATATATATTATCAATGCAGGATCTAATAATAAAACTGTTCCTAAAATGATAGTTACAGAAGCGACAAATGGATTCACTTTTCAAATAATCAATTCATGAAGGGCATCTTGACCTGGTTTGGACTGTAATTCCTCCATCAGAAACCTGCGAATTATTCTGAGCGATCTTCGCTTTCGCAACGCTTTTTAGTTCGTGAAGTACAGTGCACCAGCCCAAAATTTTTTTTCACTGCTTTCGGCACAGAACAAAGTCTACAAACTTTTACCAGTAAATTCTTTATTATTTGTAGCTGTTAATAAACAGTATTTCATCCAAAAAAAATAAACATTCGGAAATTTTTTTAGGAAGCGCCATCTGAACATGGATGTACTTAAAAATTTTATTTTCTTTAAAATTAATTTCAAAAGAAACATCATTCATGTGAAAATTTGATTCCCGTACACTGATTGGCTAATAACATGACAGGTCAAGCAGACGTCACATTATGTAAATTAGGGGGCAGTTGACAGCTTGCTAAATAAAAGTATCAGGCGTTCTCAATCCAAAGAAGCAAAGAAGCACAAAATAATAATAATAATAACACCTGATCTCAGGTTATGCACCTTTGCACCTTCGAGTGATTTTGTTAAAAATAGTTACATGTATTGTGAGGCCTGGGACTCATCTTGTACAAAATCATGAGTTCCAGTCCATAACCAATGAGTCCCAGTTCAAAAAAACAAGGAGTCATGCTTGGGCCTTTACATAAGCAGAAAATTTAATCTGGAGACAGATGCAAAGCTCTTTACTACAGTTTACTGAAATTAAAATATAGTCCTTCGATATACACGTATTTAAAGCACAAAACAGACTAAAATAAGCATGTATTTTTCAACAACAGCCACAGAAATCACACGAACAGGATATTCTACCAAAAAATCTTCAAATTGATCGATCGTTCTTTGTGTCCTACAGGACACATGCCATGAATTATTTTCCATCTTTGAAGATTATTATGAGTCAGGGACACAGGACACAAAGGTAACAATATCACTGACCTTTGTGTGGTAGCTTTCTGGAAGTTGATCTGCAGGGGGTGACGAGGGGTCACGGATTTGACCAATCCTCATACTCTTGAAAATCTGAAATATAACACAATGAAACCATGCATTGTTTACTTATTTCTCCTCTAAAAGCCTCTGAAATAAGTTTTATCACACTTTGTATACAAAGGTATAACTTGGTCAGTAGTTTTTCAATATGTGGAATCACTAAATAATCATAAACCTCATGGTACTACACATTAACCCATTTGCGCCTGGAAATTTTGCTGAAAATCGCATTTTGAAGCTAGTTGAGCAGTTTTCTAGTCAATGCCTGGCTTTAAAGAGCTAAAACTTACCACAAAGCTGTACTTGCAGGTTGTACATTTTGAGGCCTTCTGATCCACATGCAAAATATCAGCTAGTGAAATGTTCGGGCATGCACAGAAAGAAAAATTTTGGGATAGTTTTTGAGTTTAAAAGTGACAAAGCAGTCTTGACTTTTTCTTTTCGCTTTCTTCCTTTCCCTCTTATTTTGCTTTTCTTGCCTTTTTTCCTCTTGCTGGGCATTTAGAAGGCTTTATTTTGGTGGGCAAAGTTTTTGTGAAAGCTTTTACATTTTTATTTTAGGATTAGATGAAAGGACAGGTAGGAGGGTAGTGAACCAAGGTTTTCATGGAAATTTTCAGGTCAATGTTATATGATGGTTTTCTGCCTTGTTCCCTGGTCTCCTTGACTGAATTGTGCTCATTCTAGTATGGTTTAAAAAATCTTTTGAATGTACACAAGTTAGCAGAGTCCTTGGCCATTAAAACTGATGATGTCACAAGCGGTGGAAGGGACCTGGATCCGCACGGGCAGTTATGGGCAGTTCAGAGGTAAATGAGTTAAATGATGCAGTTACCATGACACCACTAGGATTCAACCACTGACCAAAGAAGTTTGCATTAAAAAACGGGACTACAGAACATAATTAAGCAGAATCAAAGAAAATGAACTAGCAATGGGCAAAATTCATTCAAACAGAGAGAGAAGTAAAATTCTGCTGAACATTTCTGGGCTCAAAGCCAGAGCAAAAATGGCTCCCTGCAGGAATTAGTCAGACAAATTTTTGGCATAAAATACACTAAATTTGGCAACTTTGTAAACCGTGATAGCCCCTCATGAAATGAAATATGAAATGAAGAATTGTAGAAAAACATGACGATGTAGAGGAGTTTGTTATCTGCCACGGCCGAACCTCCTCCTCAATCTGCATATTTCTCCATGTCATACGAAAGCTGAGTCTAATGGCATAATTTTATTATTCATTCAACATTTTCACAGCTTAAAAAAATGCTTGCTGGAACCTAAACCAAGTTCCAGGTGCTGTTCGATGTACTAAGCCAATATATTGCATCATTCTATTGTGTGAAGTTTATTACAGCCATGTATGTTATTGTGTAAGGGCTAGTGATCATCGTTGTGTTCTTTGTGACGTACAATGTAACACAAGACTTGCTATTCACTTGATACATGTATTATGGTGCACCAGCTCAAGTTCCCTTAATTCCTATTTGCCTGTTCCAGACAGTTTCAGGATGACAGCAGTTGTCACCATCTGTCAACTGGACCATCTGCACTCCATAATAATTATGGTGCACTGATTTTAATCAAACCATTTAGTTTTATGTAAAATGTTAATTGCTTGATTTGATTTCCACAAAATATGGATCATACTGTCAGAGAGGGAATTTCATTAATTTTGGTCTTCCCCCTCTAAGATTTCCAGTTCCCTCTGTGGTGGGGGTTTGGAAATTAATAATTACTGTACCTTCTACTTATTTTTATTGTATTGTGAAGGTTACATTGTACATATGTACCTCTGTTGCAAACTGCTGTAAACCACCAATATTAATGGGTCCTTCTTCTGAGGCATACAAATTACAACCTCCAACACACAAGTCACTTGTAGGACATACCATACCACAGGTCAAGCCAACAGGATTGTCACTGAAGATCGCCTTGGCAGCACCATAATAGTTCTGTACAGCAGGGAATAAAACGGATAAATCTTCATAATGGCAAATCAATGTAACTACAGTGTATAATTTATTCATTGATCACCCTTTTCTGATTTTTTTTTGTCTTTTTGTCATTTTCTACTTAACGTGTTACATCAGCCACACTAACTTCATTTAAAGTGGTTCACAGTCATAAAACTATGAGGTTTATGATGAAACTTTGACTAATCAATTACACAAGTGAAAAAAGGGAATTCTTATAGGAATAGATTTCCTGATAATAACCTTCAATATATATATTGGTTGGTAAATGTAACTATTTCTGACGTGATTTTTCATTATGAATTTTTAGCAAATTCCAACTCTACATACCTTGTTAGCAATACTGGTTATAAATGCCTTGATGTCCAGCTGTGTGGGACAGCTCTTCTGACAGGGTGCATCAGCACATTTAAGACATCTGCGATGTTGGTTACAAAAATAATTTTTTATAGACTAAGTAACACTTGGGAAAAAATCAATTTATACAATAACAACAACAACAACTGTATTAACAGCAATGAAATTAAATACATACAACATATGTGCACTACCTACATTATGAAAAAGCTATTTGAGGTAGGCAGTGTGGGGACACTACTTTATGTGACCTGATACATTTTAAGACACTTTACAAGGAAAATAAAAGAGATTTACAACATCAAGGAAAACAGGCAACTAGAATAATAATACAAGTGAATATTATATGTAAATAGATATATAAATAAAAGTTACAATAAACTAGATAAAATGATCCTTTTTTTAAATTCATTAATAAGGTTGTCTATATCAGAATAACTCTCCAGTCTTTGAAGACCGAGTAGTTGTAATGACAGATTGTGTATTTGTTTCTTAAAAGCATGCTTTGGGAGTTTTCTCAAATTCTCAACGATACTGTTTAATTATTAATAACGTAATCCCATTGGACCATCATTGGTTAATATTACCCAGATATGGGTAGTGATACGTCATCAGTATAGATTTTTTGCAGTTGTTCCTCATATGTCATTTCCATCACCCAGAAATTAAACCAGTGGTGGTGTCATGAAATGTTGACTGTTTTTTCAGGCTATGAATTTATTCATGTTAAGTTGTTTAGTTTAAACCTTAGACTTACTAACAGTTCTGTATATTATCTATAGTTGAACTGTAACTTCCAAAACAAAATGCTGGCCAGTGACACAGAAAAAAAAATGGAGTAACAAAAATCATTTGGCTAACATGTTTTAGATTTTAAATTTTAATCATTGACTTAAATATTACATGTATGTATTTGTATGTGTCAATAAAAAGCCATAATATGTACTTTATAGGGTAGAGGTTTCAGAGGGGGTTCATATCAAAACTTTATGATAAATGCATAAAACTACAAATCAGAGTAATGTATGGTTGTGTGAAAAAATATTTACCAAATATATTTGCCCTATTTACCTTGCAGCCTCTCGCAGAGCTGCTCTTTCACTCAGTGTTGTGTGCTTTACATCATCAAAGTTATTGGTAAGACTTTCACAACTCTATAACACAATCAATATACATGTCAACTGCTGCAGGCTTCAGCATTGCTGAGAGTTAAATAGACAGTTGGAGCATGATTACTGCCAGCACTTCTATCTAGTACACCAGCATATAGTTGTTCAAAGCATTAATTACATACATGTATTTTGACATGTTTATAAAGATGCTAGGTCTGTAATGTCAAAATTTGACTCTGTCTAGCATACAGTGTTTGTATAGAAGAACTTGATTGTACTTAATTAAAATTTGACTGCCAAAGTCTGTCTCATTAGTTGTTAAAAATGAATGATTATAGAAAAAAAACCACACTTGTGAAAAAGGAGAAAAAAATACTCAGTTGACATCAATACCTTCCATTTTGATGTATTATAATATTTATTGCAAGTTATTAATTTAACCCTTTTAAGAATTTACTTTCTTTTCAATCCAGAATAGGGTAGCCTTCATCCCTTTTTATGAAATTGCACCTTGTTTCTTGTTTCTGCTGTTGATAATGGAATGCTTGTGAAAATCAATTTTTTTCCAAAGGAAGAAAGTAAAACAAAAATTATCAAACCATTAAGTTGCTCAATATTTAAACAAACTTACAGAACAGCCTTTCTCGTGGTTCCTCTTCCAGTGTTTTCTATTGGACTTGGTGGTTGATGTGGAAACCAAGCTAGCATGTGGTTTTGTTTTAGGGTTTAGAGTAAGAAGGTTCTAAAATAAAAAAAGGAAAAATGTTATTTGGTTGATAATAAACTGGTATGATTGTATGCTAAACAATTAAGTCATTATCAATACATGAGATATCAACTTGGTTATACACCTGCAGGGCCATCAAATGCCAAAAACAAAACTGAACAGTTATAAAGTAAAATGGATACATTGGCAAAACGAGAAGAAGCATGCACATGTATGTTACAGGTCAAATTTGACTTCAGTTTAAAATTTTTTAACCAAGGTTGATTCTCAGTTTCTTTTTTGTCTCCTGGTCCTAAAAGACAACCAGAATTGAATATCAATGGTAAGGTTAAAACAAATTAACCTAAACTCAGATTTAACCTGTAACACACACTGTACGTTATGTACATGTAGACCATAAATGGATCAAGGAGTATAACAGGGTTATATGGCTTTCACAAACTCAAACCTCGGCCATCTCTGAACACGCCAATAGCACCGGACATTATCTGCTTCGGGAGCTACATAGTCAAGGTTAGGTTCATTGACTGACACCCTCACTGGTGCTCTCATATGGTTAAAGAGGCTATTGAAATTCACAGAACACCTTAGAAACATCAACACGGACAGCATGGATCGATGCCTACATGGTCAGAAAACACACCTAGCAATGAACGTCTCAAAATCAGTGGGCATTATTTACAAATCAAGTTTCTGCCTTAATAAGACCTCCTTATGTGCTCTCTATTATAGTTCAGTTTATTCTTATTTACATTACTATGCAAGGGGTAGGGGCTCAACTTATCAGTCAAATCTTAAACATTTGATTAATCTTTAGAAACGGGTTATTAGAATAGTTTCCAGGAATTCTTTTGATGCTCATGCCAATCCTATATTTATAAGCTTACGAATTCTAAAATTTGAAGATATTATCAAACTCCAAACACATAAGGTTATGTACCGTTATAAAAACAGCCTTCTTCATAACAGTTTCAATGACATGTTTTTGCTTAACTGTGATGTACACGTACATTCATATAACACTAGAAGTAAGAATTTCTTCCGTTTGCCCTACTGAAGGACAAATGTAAGGAAATTTTCACTTCGTTTTCAAGGGCCCAAAATATTCAATTCCCTTCGCCCTGAAATTCAGAATGCCTCTAGTAATGCTTTGTTTAATTCTAAACTTAAGTCATTTTTTCTTGGTATAAGCACACTTTAGCTCTCATAATGCTTGTGTGTAGTTCTTTGCTTCTTCCGCTTTTTTTTTTCTCATTTATTCTTGCATTATTTTTTCTCACCTTTAATTTCTTTCTCGTTTTTGCATTTACACATTCAGCCTTTTCTCTTTTTATCCTATTTAATGACTATTTTCTATGTTCCAAACAAATTTTGTGTACTTAGAGTTAAATTGCCGATGTCAGTATTGTAATAATAATAATTCTTATTATTAATTAGATGACATAATTTTAAAAGGTGTTCCTATACACAAGCCTTATTGGCTTCCTTGGGCTCCCTTGACTCATCTTTTTTTTTAAATTTAATATGTATATTTTGTGTTTTTTGGCAAAATGATAATAAAACAAAACAATAAAACGACTGGAACCACAATGGACTGCTTCAAGGGAACAGTTTCGCCCTCCGCTAATGATCGAAACCCACCAGCCATGAGTGGAATTCACGATACACCTATCACTAGCAACCCTCGAGGTACTAATAAAATAATATTGACACCATCACCTGATTCAGACCTACAGCATATGGTTAAAATGATGTAGTTGATATCTAAGTGCCAGGGAGATTTGACTTTAAGACTAAAGCTGGATGAGCCATTTTGTATTGCTTTGAATACTGAAAACTTTTATAATCTATAAATCAGCTGTAAAGTTGAAACTTGCTATAGGCTATGGAAACCTGTTGGGGACATTCCTTACTACAAATCTCTTTGGTAAAGAAATTGCACAAAACTTACCGCAACTAAGAGGGGCAGCTACAACAAAAATGGAACTTTAAGCGGAAGTATATAAAAATCACATATTAGTCACAGGGTGCTCACTAGGGAGCAGGCACTTCCAAAGACTGATCTCTACACTTTTCCTTAAAGAATCAGTGACCACTTTTATTAATTCTCTTGTATACATTGCCATTGACTTTTCTAGGACAAAATTAATTGATGCTGATCACTCTTGAATGGGTATCAAATGCATTGCTTTTTGTTCTGCATGCATGAAAAGCTAGTGATCAAATTTTCTCCATGGGCAGCAAGCACTTGGTAAGCATATTGTTAATATTTAATTGAGTGCACGTAGTAGACAAGAGCTTTTTTTCAAAACAACCCTCACCAGGACAATCAAACTATATGAACTACACTGGGTACTGAACTACACTGATACTCTTGGGTTCCAACCATTTACTAAAGAATGCATTGTAATTAGAGGAAATTGACCATGAACAGCTAATATAACAATTCTTCTTTCAAGCAGAAAGGCTACATACAGACACGTAGAAGACATGAGAAAAAAGAATATAATATTGTTATCCTCATTTGCATACAGACAGACATGTAGACAACATGGGAAAGAATTATCTTTGTTTGCTTTCACCTGTATGTAGCTGACAGTTAAATTCATGAGTTCAAAACTAAGGAGATATTAGTTTATTTCCGTACCAAAAAAAACCACAGAGAAGGAATTACAAAATTTGGAGTGATCAACTACTTTGTAACCATGCAAGTACTTATAAAGATATGAAGGGAAGAACAAGTAAGCACTTCCCTAAACTATGCAGGAACTTTAATATTTGAAGGCACCATTAGATGCCGTTAAAGTAGATTAAGTCTTGTAGACCTTTCATGTTTAGGATTGCATGCTTTGCTCACACAAGAAAAAAATTTCACACTCAAAACGTTCAGTTAAGGCAATGACAAAAAACAAAGCGGGCAATGTAGTAAATCCTCCATTGACCAAGCACATTTCCTCAAACAGTTTTTGCACGTTCTGCCTCAGGAACTTTAGCCAATACCGTCTTGACCATTCAATGACCCGCATATCATATACTATGAATATAAATATTATATCCATGACTATAATCTTTTAGTTAACTGTTAATTGAACTAAAAATAGTGATACCTCTTTAATAAACTAGGTATCTTACTAAATCTGAAAAAATTATTTAATTACAGTGAATAGGTATCAAAACTGTGATTTAATAGCCCATGTTCAATGGATTAAAATGTTAACATGACTTTGAGCCTTTAGGGTCAAAATCGAAAATTTTCACAACTCCATTGTCTCGCAATTCCCAGAAGAGACTTAAACACACACAAAAAAAAAAACAAATATAGAAAAATGACCAGAACGCCTCCGAGTCATTAATTTAATAATTATATCGAACGCGGGCTATGATGCGTAGTACTGCATATAACACACACATCAGTGAGTCATTATGATGACTATTAAACAATGAGAACACTTTTAACAAAAACAATAAAAATCTCGCACGTGTAAACTTATACATGGACCTGAGGTTTGTGAATTTTTCACAGAAAAACTCAAAAGCACCTAAGCTTAAGTTTTCTTGCGCTATAAGAAACACAATTTACACTGTCTAATAGAGTCAAATATATAAAGTTTACATGTATGGTTTCAGCTTAAGTTTAATGAACAACACGTGCGGCGGCGATTCTGATATGAGGGGTTATATAATTATATGATGCATCAATAAACAGAAGTTGCGTTCCGTTTTACCGAAGTTAAGACAACATAAGTTGCTTACAGTGCTTTCCGTGATGCTTTTTTGGTTGTTTATTGGTCTTTTACTGCAAAAGACCAAGCGAACAAGTTGATGAGGCCTTCGTGAAGGCTGTAACGAGCCTCCATCGAATACTTAGTTGTTGATCAGTTTCTTTCGCTGCCATTTGAATAAACCACCTCTACAGTGAAGACGTTTTTGCAAACGTACCTACAATCGACCGCTCGACAGACTACAAGGTCGAATGACTTCCCTCTTGCTTAACCTACCTTTTGATTTCCACTAAGGTTTAGACCCCTTGGCGACCATTTGCATGTGGATATTCCGAAGATTAACAATGTTTTTTCATTTAACGTTTGTCAAAGGCTGATTACAACTTACCTCGATATCCGCGGAGTGCTTAGACAAAGCCATTATGGCACCATGTACTTGGAAGACTTCACTTACGCACACCTCTGATTGTGCAATTTAGACCACGTGACACTACCCGTCTGGCCCCAGTTGTTCAAAAGGTGGATAGCGCTATCCGCTGGATAAATCTCTATCAAGTGAATAGTGCAATTGGTTTCCCAAATACTTATCCGCTGGATAGCGCTATCTAACGTTTGAACAACCGGGCCCTGGACTGCAGCGCACGTAACTTCATTATGTTTTGACCGGCAAAAAGACCGAAGAGGTCTCCTCAGTTCCCAGTTCAGTGCTGTTAACTCTCCCGGGAGACTCCAGATTTTGGACCGTTTTTCCCGGTCTCCAGATTAGAGTTTGAAATCTCCCCGATAATCGCCGAAGTTTGCCGTTTCTTCAGTAGACTTGGACTACTTTCCGACCATAAAATTTCAACCATTTTGCGTTGTTTGAGCTATTTTAATGTTCACATCAAATTAAACGTTTCCTCATAAACGGCTCCGGTATTTGATGGGAAGTAAGCCAATGAGGTCATATGTTACGAGACAAAAACATCTTTTTAGCGCGTTTTGTGTCATCGCATCCTCGGATCGGAGACCCAGGGGCAGTTAGTCGGGTCGATAAAATGTCCGTGGTGAAAGTTTACTGTAAATAAATATTAAAGTTTTTTTTAACTTTCGGTTGTTTCTCAAAAAAGAAAAAAGCGTCCTGTCCCGAATATGCGTCCTCCCTTGAGGCACCATATTAAATAAGCGCCCTGGGCCCCAAATCGAATCATTACTAACAGTAAGTCTATTTTTTTACTGGTCACGCGCTTAAAACATGGTTCGGGTTATTGAGGGTAAAATTATACAGAAATGATCTCCCCGAAGAGAAAAAAAAACTTAGTATTACTTCGAGTTAGAACGAGGTTCGAATCAGTAGCAAGGGTTCGAATTATGAGAGTCGACTGTACACATGTATATCCTTTTTAAACGATTTTTTTCTTATTCTGCGTTTTAGAATTTATATTCCGTGTTTTTTTTTTAAATATTGTGTAAATTCTGTCTTTTAGTATATTCTGTATATTTCGAAAGGCACTATACATTGACGATCTTTATAGAGAGCGAGCTATCGTGAACTTTTAGCTGGTCTCAAATGATAACTCGTCGGTGTAGGTAAGTGCAAATCTGTCTATTTCACCCTCAATAGCGTGCAACATGTGGGTTTTATGCAATTTTTTTTCAAGATTTATCACTGAAACAACTTTTACTCACTGATACTGATAATTCACTACATGTTTAAAAAAAAAAGTAAAAAGTGTATTAGACAATGTTATAAAAAATATAACTTGATAAGGATATATGTTGAAATATCATTAAAACAAGAACGCTCTAAGTAGCGTTGAGTCTCGCTTGTTTGTAGATAAGATAAGAAGTGAGGAGGCGAATAGAGCGCGTGCGTTCGTCACTCGGGGGGGCGCTCCGCATATAAAAGGGGCTGGGATGCTCGTCGTCTTGCTTAGGCAGGGGTGTAAATTTCGGTCTCATTTACGGTGTTCTGGGCAAAACGGTATAATATTTAGCCGTGAAGGTCTTGTTTAGGGTTGTATGTGAAAAAATATTAAAATACGTGTATTGTCTGAGTTTTCAGTAACATAGTCTCTCAGGGGTCAAAAAAGCTTGGGCTACGCCCGAATCGATCTCTTGTCCCGGCATAGTAAATCGAACCCAATCGAACTAAATTTCAATCGAACTCAATCGAACTCAATCGAACTCAATCCGTGGATTGAGTTGGATTGAGTTCGGCAATCGAACGAAATCGAACTCACCGAAAAGAAAAAAAATCAATCGAACCCAATCGAACGTTCGATTTTCGAACTCGTGATTTATGTAAAACAGACGTTGAAAATCCATTACCAGATCTTAGAAGCTCGAGTTACTTCAGCCCTGAGTGTAGCGCACGTGTTTTTCGTAAACGAAGAAATTCCGCAGAAATGGCTTCAGATGCGTTGTGGATCGTAAGCTTCAAATGTATAGTCAAAGGCTACAAGGAATGCGGCTTTGACGTCAAGGACGGCGAAGTTTTCGGGGTTTTAAAGAGAATAGGCGAGAAAGGCCGTGCCTTCCGAAATGCAAACGAGCGCGGACAATTACGTCCAATATACTGACGCTCGTTCACCTCTTACTCTCTTGTTCACTGTTAATTGTCCAAGATGAATTTGAGAGAATCATGTATATCGTTAGTAAGATATTTTTCATAATCATCCATCTATACTTTATGCCGTAGCCCGTGTCGCGGTTAGTAATTTGCTTGTATTTTTGCATAAAAGTAATCCGTCGAGTTGTCTTGCCGCTATTGTATTAAAGTTAGCTAAAAAAGGAAAGGGTACGACAATTTCGAAATACGCCCGCGGGAATAATGATAGCTTTGTTTTGTTCTGTTCTGTTCTCTTAACTGCCGTGGACAGTTTATGAATGGGGTTTGTGTTATTGAATAAATAGTAAAAAAAACGCACGAAAAACTTGCTTTGACGGGCTTGCTTTGGGCTTGCTCTGTATAGGTTCACCAGAGCCAATCGAACGAAATCCATCTAATTGTGTTCGATTGAGTTCGGTTTCCGAACTCAATCGAACACAATCAGACGGATTGAGTTCGATTGAGTTCGATTTGTTCGGAACTGAAAGTGTGGTGTTCGATTTCGTTCGATTGCCGAACTCAATCGAACTCAATCCGCGGATTGAGCTCGATTGAGTTCGATTGAGTTCGATTTTCGATTTACTATGCCGGGTCTTGTAGGGGTTTAATTCAAAATTTCCGACGAGCATCCCCTTGTCTTTCATATGCAGAGTCGTCCTCCCCAGGGGTTCGTCATAATTCCTCAGAGTCACCGACAGCAAGTGAAAAAGTTGAATTATGATTTCAATCTACCGCACAGGGTCCAGAGGAGTTGCGTGTGAATAAACAAATTAATTATTTAAAGTCTCACCTCGAAAAATGTTTATACTTGTCGCTTAGCATGATTAACTAGCCCAATGGGATCTTTATGAATCTACTGTAAAGGATTTCTTTGCTTTTTACCTGATCCAGATCGACTTTGTTGTTCGCCATTTTGAAAATCAATAACCGCAAGCTATATTCTCGTTGGTGCACAGCTGGTCGTCCGAAGGGTGACGGAAGACCGTCGCCCGAAGGGCGACCGAAGCGCGAAGTGGCGAGTAAAAAAAAGATTAAGGGAGGATACTTGTACCACGTGACTTAGTTCGTTGTGAACCGCATCTCTCGGTTACGGAAGTGAATGAGACCGGAAACGCAAAATCGACAGACCGCTGTAATTCGAGAATCAAAACATCAGCTGCGGAGGGAGTTTTAAAGATCTTAGAGATCTATGCGAAGGCAACAGAGTTTTAATTGAAGTGAAGATCTTTCAAGACTGAACATCTGTTGTGTACATGCCAACAGTCTTCGATGTCTTTAAGCAGGTTTCCCTTGTGTAAAGCGCTTCCCACTACCGGTGTTTAGACAATGGCAAAATTTGCAATAAATTCACACTGTAGTTATAAGAAAAATTTAGCCGTTAAGTCACTTTGTATTATTATTAAAGAAAAATTTAGCCATTAATTAACGGCTAAATTTTACTCTTTACTAAACAAAAATTTAGCCATTAATTAACGGCTAAATTTTCATTAACTATTTATAAGAGAAATTTCATTAACTATTTATACAAACGAAAAATTTAGCCATTAATTAACGGCTAAATTTTCATTAATATATATATGCAAACGAGAAATTTAGCCATTAATTAACGGCTAAATAATTCCCATATATATATGAAGACAGCTAAACTTAGCCGTTATTTAACGTCTAACTATTTCCCATTATATAAGAATCATGCATTTTTAGCCGTTAATTAACGGCTAACTATTTCTCACTATATAAGTATCATGCATTTTTAGCCATTAATTAACGGCTAAATATTTGACATACATATAAGAATACAGCTAAACTTAGCCGTTATTTAACGGCTAACTATTTCCCACTATATAAGTGTCATACCTTTTTAGCCGTTAATTAACGGCTAAATATTTCCTATAAATATAAGGATACAGCTAAACTTAGCCGTTATTTAATGGCTAACTACTTCACACTATATAAGTATCATGCATTTTTAGCCGTTAATTAACGGCTAAATATTTCCGATATATATAAGGATACAGCTAAACTTAGCCGTTATTTAACGGCTAACTACTTCCCACTATATAAGTATCATGCATTTTTAGCCGTTAATTAACGGCTAAATATTTCCAATATATAAAGGGATACAGCTAAACTTAGCCGTTAAATAACGGCTAACTGTTTCCCACTATATAGGTATCATGCATTTTTAGCCGTTAAATAACGGCTAACTATTTCTCACTACATAAGTATCAAGCATTTTTAGCCGTTAATTAACGGCTAAATATTTCCGGTATATATAAGGATACAGCTAAACTTAGCCGTTTAATAACGGCTAACTATTTCCCACTATATAAGTATCATGCATTTTTAGCCGTTAATTAACGGCTAAATATTTCCGATATATATAAGGATACAGCTAAACTTAGCCGTTAAATAACGGCTAACTATTTCCCACTATATAAGTATCATGCATTTTTAGCCGTTAATTAACGGCTAAATATTTCCGATACATATAAGGAAATAGCTAAACTTAGCCGTTATTTAAAGGCTAACTATTTCCCATTATATAAGTATCATGCAATTAACGGCTAAATATTTCCCACTATGTAGGTATCATGCATTTTTAGCCGTTATTTAACGGCTATTTCTCACTATATAAGTATCATGCATTTTTAGCCGTTAAATAACGGCTAACTTTTTCCCACTATATAGGTATCATGCATTTTTAGCCGTTTTTTCCGATATATTTAAGGAAATAGCTAAACTTAGCCGTTATTTAACGGCCAAACATTTCCCACTATATAAGTGTCATGCGTTTTTAGCCGTTCGGCTAAATACCTCCAAAACATATA